GTTCATATTACACTAACAAAGTTTCCCTAATACCATAGAAAAGCCAGTCTCTGTTTAAATTTTTCCTCAGAATATCTTTGATAGTTTTGTTGTTTTATAATGAATTAGGATCCAATCTTATATCCTGCACTGCATTTAGTTCTTCAAAGTGTCTTTTAAGGTACAAAAGCCCATCTCTTTCTTTCCTGTCACCATTGCTGTTTGTGGGAGGTAATCCTAGTTCTTTCACAATGTTTTACATACTGAGGTCATTTGTTTCCTTGTGGTAGTGTTTGACTTAGTCTGTCCGTAATATTTCCTATAAGCTGGATTTTAGATCTAAAAGCTTGATCATCCCCCAACAATAAAAAAAAATTATTTTTTTAAAAAAGCTTGCTCAGATTGCATAAAATAATTTTTGCAAGCATACATCATACATGATGCAGCACACATAAATGAATATTTACTAAATAAGTCTGGGATTGGCCCAGATTTACTGAGGTTGTTAGGTCGCATGTGAACCAGAATATGGCAGGGAGCAAAAACGGTATGGGCTTAATTAGAAAAATGGTTTCACTACCAGGCAAGTTGGCTCACACCTGTAATCCCAGCCCTCTGGGAGGCTTAGGTAGATGGATTGCCTGAGCTCACAGGTTTGAGACCAGCCTGAGCCGGAGCAAGAACTTGTCTCTAAAAATGGCCAGGCATTATGGTGGGCGCCCATAGTCCCAGCTAGTTGAGAGGCTGAGGCAAGAGAATCACTTGAGCCCAAGAGTTTGGTGTTGCTCCTGAGCTGTGACTCCACGGCACTCTACCAAAGGCAACAAAGAAAAGAATTTCTCTCTCCCTTCAGGCTAAGACATAGTTGTACATTTTTTTTTTTTAATTAAATCATAGCTGTGTACATTATGCAATCATGGGGTCATCTGTGTATCTTTAACTGTTGTATTTCTGTTTGCTTTCTTTCCAGGATTCCAGCTGGCTACTGCTTTGTAGAATTTGCAGATTTGGCCACAGCTGAGAAGTGTTTGCATAAAATTAATGGGAAACCCCTTCCAGGAGCCACACCTGTAAGGACATTTAGATACTGATGATATTGCCTTTGTTTATTGTCATTGATTGCTACCATCTGTTGAATCCCTGCTGTATACTGATGTCATTTTACTTAATCCTATAACAACCCTGTACTGTGGGCATTGTTACCTTTGACAGCCCATGAAATTGAAGCTCAGGGATGTGAAATAACTTGCCCAAGGCAACCAGGTTTAGTAAGTGGCATAGCCAGGTTTCAAACGGAAGATTGGTTGCCTTCAAAATCCATGCCTTTCCCACTCTGTGTCACTGCCTCACATAACAGAAGACTTGAAACTCTAGACTTCTTGCCTGATTGAGAAACTAGAACAGGCTGGCAGCAGCAAGGACACATTTCAAGAGAGTTACATTCTGCTCTTCCCACAGTTACTTAGCTTACAGCTGCACCAGCTGGCACACCTGGGCTCATAGAACCATGGAGCTGGCAGTGCCCTTAGAGGTCATCCGTGCAACCCCCTCATTTTATACAGGAGAGAAAGCTGAGGCTTAGAGAGGGGGAGATGTTTTGGCCAAGGTAATTTATTTCAGTTTTTTTCAAATATTGTTTGACTCTTGAAACACCTTTCTCTGTTTTAGTTTGTCTGTTTGTAAATTTTCCAGGCAAAACGTTTTAAACTGAACTATGCTACTTATGGGAAACAACCAGATAACAGGTAAGCACTAAGTAATGTCTAGCCAGAGACACAGTGTGTCACCATACTTGTCACTGCCAAAAAAAGGAGAAATAGGGCCAAGTGGGGTGACTCCCCAGTAATTCTATCACTTTAGGAGGCTGGAACACGAGGATTGCTTGAGGTCAGGAGTTGGAAACCAACCTGAAAAAGAGCAAGACCTTGTCTCCACAAAAATTAGAAAAGAAATTATCTGAGCGTGGAACCTGTGGAACCGCACACCTGTAGTCCCAGCAATTCAGGAGGCTGAGGCAGGAGGATCATTTAAACCCAGGATTTTGAGGTTGCCATGAACTGTGATGAATGATGCCACTGCATTCTGGCAACAATCTTTAAAAAAACAAAGGGAGACTCGCCACCCATATAGCACAGTGGTTACGGAGCGAGCCACATGCATTGACACTGGTGGGTTCGAACCTGGCCCACGCCAGCTAAACAACAGTGAAAACTGCAACAAAAAAATAGCCTGGTGTTGTGGAAGGCGCCTGTAGTCCCAGCTACTCAGGAGGCTGAGGCAAGAGAATCACCTAAGCCTAAGAGCTGGAGGTTGCTGTGAGCTGTGATGCCACAGCACTCTACCGAATGCGACATACTGAGACTCTGTCTCAGAAAAAAAAAAGAGGCAGGCAGCACCTGTGGCTTACAGGAGTAGGGCGCCAGTCCCATATGTCGGAGGTGGCAGGTTCAAACCTGGCCTTGGCCAAAAACTGCAAAAAAAAATGAAAAAGAAAAAAGTTTGAAAAGGGGGGGCTGTCCTTCGCCCCTTTCTGAAGTCCTGCAGAAGGACCTTCATAGTGTGCCTCCTGTCAAGGCCAGGCCTTTTCTATGGGTGGTCCCTCCCCTAGCCTTCCAGTTTTACTCCCCACAGTGTGAAGGTTCTATTCTGAATTAATATTGTAGCAACATAAATTGGTTATCAATTGAGGTTGCTGTTTGAAAACTTTAAAGCCTTTTCTATTTTTTTTTTTAAGTTCTTTTTTTGTTGTTGTTCTGAGACACAGTCTCACTTTGTCGCCCTCAGTAGAGTGCTAGGGCGTCACAGCTCACAGCAACTTCAAACTTTTGGGCTTAAGTAATTCTCTTGCCTCAGCCTCCCAAGTAGCTGGGACTATAAGCACCTGCCACAACACCCAGCTATTTTTTTGGTTGTAGTTGTTGTTGGGTTTGAATCTGTCAGCCCCAGTATATGTGGCCAGCACCTTAGCCACTGAGCTACAGGTGCCTAGCCAAAGTATTACATATAATGGGCTAAGTTGGGGAAAACCCAAATAACCTAATAATAGTAAAGTGGTTAAATTATAATATGTTCATTAATTGGAATGCTGTGAATTTATTAACAAGTCTTCATGTATCTATTAACAAGTTGCAGCGTTGGTACATGTGGCTGCTGCCATAACCACTGTGCTATAGGCACTGAGCATGTATGCTGATTTTTTTTTTTTTTTTTTTTTAGACAGAGCCTCAAGCTGTCCCCCTGGGTAGGGTGCCGTGGCATCACAGCTCACAGCAACCTCCAACTCCTGGGCTCAAGAAAGTCTCCTGCCTCCGCCTCCCAAGCAGCTGGGACCACAGGCACCCACCACAACGCCCAGCTTTTTTTTTTTTTTTTGGTTGCAGCCATCATTGTTTGGTGGGCCATCATTGGTTGCAGCCATCATTGTTGTTTGGATTTGAACCTGCCACCTCAGGTGTATGTGGCTGGTGCTTTAGCCACTTGAGCCACAGGCACCGAGCTGTGTATTCTGATTTTTTTACGAGGAATATGTATTACACTTAAAATAGTGTTGATTTATTTTTTGAGCAGAATTGATTTTCTAGACTAGAGGTTGACAAACTGGCCTGATTTCAACTACCTCAAAGCTACAATTTTACATTCTTATTTTTTGAGACTGAGTCTCACTCTGTTGCCCTGGGTAGAGTGCTGTGGTGTCATAGCTCACAGCAACCTCAAACTCTTGCCTTAGATTCTGGAGTAGGTGGGACTAAGGCATTTGTCACAAGGCCGGGCTATGTTTTTTAGAGCCAGGGTCTCACTCTTCCTCCAGGTGGTCTTGAACTCCTGAGCTTAAACAATCCACCTACCTTGGCCTCCCAGAGTGGTAGGATTACAGGCGTGAGCTACCGTACACAGCCTATTTTTTTCTATTCTTTTTTTTGAGACAGAGTCTCAAGCTGTCACCCTGGGCAGAGTGCCATGACTTTACAGCTCACAGCAACCTCAAACTCTTGGACTTTAGCAATTCTTTTGCCTCAGCCTCCCAACTAGCTGGGGCTTTTTTTTTTTTTTGTAGTTGTTATTTGGCAGGCCCAGGCTGGGTTCATACCCACCAAGCTCCAGTGTATGTGGCTGGC